GAAGCGATGAAATAAGGCGTCAGTCTCATCTAACCATTGATCGATGGGTTCTGCTCCTGAAAAAGGAACAAAGCTCTCACAAATAAATGTATCAAATAAATTATCATCTCGTTCTTCATCACTTGTATGATCTTTCTGATAAGATTCATTATGAATTAAATTCGGTATTTCTGAAGTGCCTTGTCGATTATCACACAAAACATGATCATCTTCTAAAGCAGCATTCTGCTCGGTAGCTACAACAGTATTCATTAGTGAGCTGTCCTCATTACTACAGGATTGAGTTTTAGTAGATGCTAATAATTTATCTGGTCTGTTCGGTGTAGGAATAATATCCATTCGCCGTGTCAATTTTGAAAAGGAACAAGGTTTAAGTGCTGGATTCAATGTTGATGTTAATTTTAAATCTTCTGAATTTGTTGGTAATTTAAGTGAACCTAATGACTCAGACTTCTGCATCTTTAGAATGTTGGTTTATTATATGTATTGCTGACAATATATAAATGAATACGAAAAAAAAAAAAAATCAAATAGAAAAAATAATATAGATATAAGTGAATAGAACAAGTAAATATATCGATATATGATATAACGATATCGAAACGACAAAAAAAATCGAATGATGGTACAGTTTCGAAAAAAAAAGAATTATAATGATGATCGTTTTTTTTTTTTTTTCTTTATGATAAATTTTAACTTCTCCACCAATTGTTAGCTCTGTGATGGGGATGATCTTACTGAGCTTAACTTCTCTGTATATATATATAAGATATAGCTTACTTATATAAATCGATATGAAGCTGTTGGATGATATATATATATTTATATATTGATCAAACAAAAAACAATAATATCAAGGACAATAACGACCAGCAGAAAGACGAGAATAAAAAAGAAAACAAAGAACTACATATATATATAAATATATACATATGCGTAATATCAACTAGCTCAATCACGTGAGCAGTGTTTTCCAATCGATTGTGCAAGAGAACGAAAAATAACAGAGCGGAACACTGTAGATGATAACCAACGACATCTACAGGCGCTCACAACCACTTTCGAAATCCACTAATATAGATTCAGGATCGTAATCATGATGTATTATCAGTTGCTCAAAAAATTTTTTATAATCATTTGTATCCTTTCCAATAAGTAAAACATATACAAGTGGAATAACTTGAGAAGAGTACATTCCATGGACAGTAAATAATTGATAATAAGTTTTTGGACATATCTATGAAAGCAAGGGTTATTTAGAAAAGTTGAAAAAAGTCGTACATACACTAAAAGTACCGTACAGAAACCAATGTTTTCATTGGTTTAAAACCAATAAATTTTTATCACAAGTAAATATAACCATTGACTCATCTTCATAGAAAATGAAATTTTCTCCACGATCAGTTTGTCGTAATATAAGTGATAAACGACCATTTTGATCAAGTTGAATAGCTGGTCGCTCACGGCGAATTGTTTGTAATAATGCTTCATTTGTAGGTAAATTAGCACTTACAGACAATGATACTTTACGCAATACATCGTATAATATAGTAGTACCTCCTACATCTGATGAAGCACTACGTTCTTTTAATTCACTTTTAAGTCAAATGACATGAAGTCGATTTGGATCAGGTACGTGAGAATGTACAGATGGTTCTTTGATAAATACTTCCATTTGGACATTTTTTTGACAACGGCCTACGAAAAATCAGTAGTGTCAAACCTGAAAGTTGAATTCAATTATTGAAAATCAACTTCAACTATTCAATTATTCAGTTATTGAATAGTTGGTTTTCAACTATTCAATTATTCAATTATTCGTTTTTTGCAATACTTGAAGTTCAATTATTCAATTATTCAATTATGGAATAGTTGGTTTTCAATTATTCAATTATTCTTTTTTCCGGAAGTCATGATCCGCCCCTTGTTCCTTTCTCCGCACCCGCACCTGGTCGCGTGTTGTGTGTGTGTGAAGATATAAAAGTCCTCTCTTCCCCCTTCCTCCAAAAAGCAATAATTGAATAATTGAATAGTTGAAAACCAAGTATTCAATAATTGAATAATTGAACTTCAACTATTGCAAAAAAGGAATAATTGAATAGTTGAAAACCAACTATTTAATAGGTGTGCCGTAGTTTGGTCGAAAGGAAAAATGTCGAAAGGAAAAATATCGAAAGAAAAATGTAGAAAATGTCGAAAGGAAAAATGTCGAAGGAAAAAATATAGAAAGACAAAATATCGAAAATTTTAATTAACATAATATTCTTTATCTATTCTGTAACATTATCATCATCATTATGGGTCATGGAGAAGATAACAAAAAAAAATGAATAATGAGATATTATTTTTTTCGTTTAGCTACTGTAAATGATAATCCATTTAAATATTCCATTACATCAATTAGACCATCATAATACCGTTTATCAAGATTATCTATACGACGTTGAATAGCAATTATTTTTGCTTGTTTTGTTCTTGCACCTAAACCAGCATTAAATTGTATAAGCATATGATAAAAACGACTTTCTTCATCTTGCAAGAGCTTGATGAATGATCATATATTTGGATGATGAATTTGTACACGACGATGGAAACGACTATGAAATGCTAAATGAAGTATACGAATAGGAAATTGAGAGAGATAATTTAAAATATATACCTTCTGCATTGTTGTTAGTTCGCATAGACAAGCCGTGAACACACCATTGAGTAGTCGGAACTTTGTTAAACCATTGTTCTTGAAAATATTCTAATAATTGATTCATTTGTTTCTTCATTGGTGGCGATAAACTTTTTACTAATTCATCAAATGTACATATCCAGTATTTGGTACTTGTTGTGGTTTTGTTGAATTTGAAAATACAGTTATTTACTACCAGCATTGGTTTTCCTTTTTGTGATTGAATAAATGAAACACTTGATGATGATGGTTCATTTTCATTTGATGAAAATGGAGCAGTTGTGGTCATGAATACAGATTTTCAGGTGTATAGTTGTTTCAGATTATTTTGCTCTCTTTATTCGATAATACTCATCATAGTTACCACGTGTTATACTTTTAATCCAATCGAATAATGAGGAAAATGATAACAGATTATAGGTGATTATAATCACTGTCTATCAGAGACATCACTTTTCGATATTTTTTCTATTTTCGACATTTTTCCATTCTATATTTTTTTGTTCTACATTTTTTCGTTCTACATTTTTCTTTTCGACATTTTTCCTCCTGTACACTCTTTTTCGATGTTTTTTTCGATATTTTTCCTTTCGATATTTTTCTTTTCGACAAAACTACGGCCAACCATTTAATAATTGAAAAGTTGAACTATATTTTCAATAATTGAATTCAACTTTCAGGTTTGACATATATGAGAAAAATCGCACCGGATTATATTTCGTGAAAAAACTTGCGAACAACACGGCTCACATCGAATAGAGATGAGCACAGGACAGTTTTATCTTCCTGTCCTATCATGTCATGCTACATTTCTTTACTGTGACGAACGGTAGGACAGGACAATAAGCTCTGCGGTCTTGTTCTGTCATATTACAGAGGACATGGCAGCACAGGACATTGAGCAGCACACTTGGGATACTTGCTGCTATATTTGACAAAGTGAAATATACAGGGTGGACCAAAATTCTTTTGGTCGAAGGAAAAATTAAATATCTCCTCTATAGTTTGACCCAGCAGACTGATTTTCTATTATGATGAAAGATTGTTCATAGTATATTTCCATCAGGAAATAGTTCAAAATAGGAATATTGGATTAACATTAGTATTACGAAAATGCCAGTACTTTTGCATTACCGCTATACAAGTACGTTAATATTTAGATATTAGTGTTACAAAAATAGTATAACACTTATGGATTACCATTGAATTAGCAGTTCGGTTATGCAAACACATATAGTTTCCAAAAACAGAACAATTTTGTTCTGTCATTTGGACGAAGACTCCCAGGATGGAACAAAATTGTTCTGGCTTTTTGGAAGTATAGGTGTTTGAGTGTTAGTGTGGGTGTGGGTGTGAGGAATAGGTGCGTGGGCGTGGTTATGGGTGTTTTTTCGGTACCATTTTCTGAATCTTTTTTCAGTTCTCGCTAGCAAGTATAGAACTCCGACAAATTCCAAAGTTTTCATCTTAACCGTTTCGAGTTCTAGCGAACATATCTAGAACTGAAAAATTGTTCAGAAAATGGTAATTACCGAAGAAAGGTTCATTATGACGCATTTTTTAGCGAGTGCGTGTGGCTAGGTGTGGATATGTAGCCTCGCGAAATCCACACCCACACCCATACCCTCAATACCAAAAAACTGCAATCTTTGTAGGATCTATACATAATAAAATCCAGTCAAACCAAAATCCGGTCAAATCCAGGAATTGGATTAGACTGGATTTGGATTTGGTGCACCCCTATTCATGGGCTTTGGATATTTAGGACAAGAAGGCGGCTCTCCGGTCAGAAATAATGAAAAAGATCACCCACAAGTATAATGAGAGCCAGTATAAAGTGAAAAAAGTCGAGCATAAAAATATTTTGATTATTGGTCGCACACGCAGTGGAAAATCCACCATCAAGCGTATGCTCACGGATCCAACAGCAGAACCCATACCAATGACGCTCAAGTCCGAAACGAAAGACGCTGATTTTAGCTCCTTCCTTGTCGACGACAGCCAAATTGTGCTCAATATCGTCGACACGCCAGGTCTGTTTGAAACCAATACTGAAGAGCAACAGATTCGTGACAATGACACAATCTTGAGCACAATTCAACGATGCGTTAATCGAGAGCTAACTAAATTTCATCTCATCTGCTTTTGTGTGTCAGTTATCGCTGGCATTAACAAAGAAGATGTGGCTTCGCTGAAACTTTTTAAGGAATACCTTGGCGATCAAGTTTCAAGCAACGCTTGCTTGATAATAACGCGTTGTGAGCTCAAAGATGAAGAAGAGCGAGCTAAACTTCGTAAGGAGCTCGAAGAAGATGCCCATTTTAAACCAATCGCCGGCTTTTTCTTACAAGGCGTTCATTTCTCTGGCTCTCTGGATTATGATGCCTATAAAAGTTCGCCACTTACACTTGAGGATCAATTCACCACTATCATGCAAGATCGAGCTCAGCTCATTCAACTGCTTCTTACAGATATCAAACCTTTCATGATCAGCAATTCTCTTATTAGCGATCTTTTTCAATGGCAGTTCTTATTGAACAGAAAGCAGCAAGAAATTGACCGTATTCAAACCGACAAACAAGGCTACACCAATGAAATTGAAAGTCTGAGAAATAAGCATGAAGAGCAGAAAGTCGTGATTAATAAACTGAAATCGGAAGCAAGGAAGCAAAACGGAAATGTATGTACGATCTCCTAGAACAGATGCGTGCGTTATAATATCTCTCATAATAAAAAAAATCCAGAATCCGTAAAATGAATATCTCAATTCAATTACGTAAATACAGCAGGACGTGGGTTGTGAGTGTGAAGTGTGGATGTGAGTGTGGGTGTGTGGGTGTAGGTATGAGTGTGAGTGTGGATGTGAGTGTCAGTGTGGGTGTGTGGGTGTGGGTGTGGATGTGGATGAAGCAAAGAATTAAGCCCACATACATACCCACACCCTTTCGAAATATACCATATACTGCACTACTAAGAGCTCCACGAATATGCTCGAATGTCGAAGATTTTTACATGGAGCGCATTCGTGTCGATTTATAGTTATTACTAAATAGGTATCCACCATCATTTATATCAAAACATTTTCAGCGATTCTTCGACCTCAACCAGGTTATGCCGGTATTGGAAAGACTCAAGGGTGGGTGTGGGTGTGGGTGTGGGTGTGGGTGTGTTCTTTT